AGCATGCTGTGCTGTGGAGGGCCTGACTTAGGCTGGTGGCTTTATCATTGTGACCATGGTTGTAACCAACCTCGGTTTTATGGGATTGTAGCAGAAGCCCCCAAGCCTGGTTACAAAAGGATCTGCAATTGTTTCTCTGCTCCTCAGTTGATCCTCAGGCCCAAGGGCAGAGCAAATGACACCTGTGGGGAGGGTCTCTGAGGAGGAGTGCGTGGGGGGGAGGACTCACCTGCCTCCTGTGCTATTAAAACTGAAAACGCCAAGAGCACACACACAAAAATGCCTGATGCTGAAGACAATAAGGGCAGGCAGGTGGGAAAGGAGAATGAAAACACGAAGAAAAGCCACATGGCAAAATGGAATCCTGTACGTTGGTCTTTTTTCTCCTTCTTTACTGACCTTGGCTTGGGTGGCCTGAGCAGAACACTGCATAGCAGGTGAAGGCAGCAAATCCACAAAAGAACCAGTCTTTTTTTCTTTCCTTTGGCAGTATAGGGGTTTGTATTTTTTTTTTTTTTTGGTGGCACTGGGGTTTGAACTCAGAGCCTCATATTGCTAGGTAGGTGCTCTACTGCTTGAGCCACCCCACCAGCCCTGTTTTGTGTTGGGGATTTTTGAGATAGGGTCTCACTTTTTGTCCAAGCTGGTCTCAAACTATGATCCTCCCGATCTCAGCCTCCCAAGCAGCTAGGATTATAGGCGTGAGTCATTGGCTTTCTTTTTCTTTTTACTTAGCAATAAATCCTGTGATGACACATGCTATTTTGCACCCTCCTCCCTGGTTTCCAAATGTGTGGGTTTTTTTCTTTAATTAAGAAAACACAGCAGCACAGTGGTAGTCAGCACATGCCTGTGCTCCCAGCAGGAGTGGATTTCAATCCGCCGCCAGCCATTGTCACTGAAAAACAACGAAAAGCAAAAGGGCTGGTGGAGCGGCTCAAGTGGTAGAGCGCTTGTCTAGCAAGTGTGAGGCCCTGAGTTCAAACCCCAGTACTGCAAAAAAAAAAAAAAAAAAAAAAAAGGAAGAAAGAAAAAGAAAACGAAGCTTTTTAAAAAAATCTCATTTGGGGGCTGGGTGTGGTGCTCACATCTATAATCCCAGTGGAGGCAGTGGAGTTTGGGAGGATCTGGGCTTGAGGGCAGCCCAAGCAAAAAAAGTTAGGGAGAGTCCATCTCTACAAAAAAGCTGGGCATGTTAGTGCATGTAATCCAAGCTCCCTGAAGGCATTCTTAGGATGATCTCAGTCCAAGGCCTGCCCCAAGATAAAATTGAGACCTTATTGGAAAATAAAACAAAAGAGCCCAAGTGATAGAGCACCTGCCTAGCAAGTGCAAGACCCTGAGTTCAAACCCCAATTCTGCCAAAAAGAAAAAAGAAAATCTTATTTCCACATTTGTGTCCTCTCTCGAAAGCTCCAGGTCCAGGCAACACTCAGCCTGGCCCAGATGTCCACAGATCTCAATGGCCAGTTCTGTGCTCTCCAGTGTAGCCCAGCGCCCAGTCCTTCCTGGAGTCTAATCCTGGTATTGTGACTACAGGTCAGCACTACTGACCTGTTCCTAAAGATTTGTGGGTTTACAGCTGGTTGGTCAGACTTCTTTGGATAGTCAAACTGTTTCTGGAATTTCCTTATCAAAAAACAGATCAAAAACCCACAGAGCAATTGTGTATGTGTGTGTAAGTGTGTGTGTGTTTTCCCAAAGAGAATTGAAAACATGTCAACACGAAAACGAGTACAAAATGTCTGTGGCAGCAATATTCATGACTCAGAGCGTGGAAACGACCATACGTACATCAGCTGGTGAACAGACAGATAAATGTGAGTTGGATTGTCCCTGATGAAACATGTTAAAGTTATGTTTATGTGAAATCTGCTGTCTGATTAGGAACTGAAGAAGAATGTTGACTCCCACTTTTTTTTTTGGAGGTACTGGAGTTTGAACTCAGGGCCTCACGCTTGCTAGGCAGGTGCTCTACCACTTGAGCCACTCCTCCAGCCCTTTTTCTGCACTGGGTATTTTCAAGACAGGGTCTCACGAACTATTTACCCCTGCTGGTCTCCCAAGTAACTAGGATTATAGGCGTGAGTCACCAGCCCCTGGCTTGGCTTCCATTTCTTCTTGAGACTAAAGAGGTCAGCTCTGGGCCCATTTTTCATTTCACATCTACATGCAATGGAATATTATTTGGCCATGAAAAGGAATGAAGAGCAGACATATGTTACACATGGAGAACTTTGAAAACCTTAGTTTTATAATGTAAAAGAAGCCATATATAAGGCCACATATTGTATGATTCCATTTATGTGATATCTCCAGAACACGCAAATCCACAGACAGAAAGTGGTTCTGGTGATTGCCTGGGCATGGGGGAAGGGAAATGACTGTTAATGGGGTTTCTCTTAGGAGATGACAGTGACCCTTGAATGTTCCTCTCTGTTTCTGGAATTGCTGAGTCACAGGCCATTTGATTTTTTAATTTCTCAGAAGTGGCTAGCCAGGCGAGGGTGGCTCATGCCTGTAATCCCAGCTACTCAGGAGTTAGAGATCAGGAGGATCGAGGTTCTTGAGACCCTATCTTGAAAAACCCTTTACAAAAAAAGGCTGGTGGAGTGGCTCAAGGTGTAGGCCCTGAGCTCAAAGCCCAGTACCACCAAAAATAAAATAAAGAAGTGGCTGAACCAATTTACCAAGCGTGACAGTCACCCACCCCACCCCCCACCTCAAGCTACACTTCGTTTTGCCAATCTGATGGGCAGGGAAAAGTACGAGAAATACCATCCCCACTTCCTTGGTGACCAATCTGTCCTATTCATTGGCCATTCTACCTCCTGTTCATTTTCTGATTAATATGTCTTTCATCTTTTTTTTTTTTGGTTCCTAAAAAAAGATCATCCTTTTGATTCTCCCTTCTTTATACAATATTGCAGCTATTCTGATTTATATATTGCAAACATTTTCTCATGTCGATGGTTCATGTACAGAACAAGTGGCTTAGCAAGTGACTGTTACGTAGTAATTACTAAGTAGGAGGTACCATTTTTGTTATTAGCGAGAAGGCAAGAACTGGTGAGCAGCTGGGTGTGGTGGTACACACTTGTAATACCAGCTACTGCCCAGGTGGAAGCAGGAGGATCTCAAGCTCAACGCCAGTCTGGGAAAGTTAGTGAGGCCCTATCTCGAAAACAAAAACAAACAAACAAGCTGGTGTATGAAGTCAACCTCTATCTCCATTCTTAGGCTGACTTAACTACTGCTAAGAATGCCACCCAACAAGTCAGCGGCCCGAATGGCTTTCTTCTTTTTGGGGGAGGGGCCTGAGAGTGGGAAATGGTACTGAGGTTTGAACTCAGGGATTCATGCTTGCCAGGCAGACACTCCACCACTTGAACCATGCCCCCAGGCCCTTTTGTGCTTTAGTTAGTTTTCAAATAGGATCTTAGGTTTTTCCTCCCTGGGCCAGGCTGGACCTCAGTCCTCCTATTCATGCCTCCCAAGTAGCTGGGACCACTGGTATGTGCTACTCCATCCAGCTTATTGGTTGAAATAGGGGTCTCACTGATCTTTTGCATGGGCTGGCCTTGAATTTTCATCCTCCCAATCTCTGCCTCCAAAGTGAGTTGTGTTTAAAGATATGAGCCAAGGGTCCTGCACTTGAGTGGTTTTCTTTCTTTTTCCTTTTGGCAAGAACCATTCTGGGTCTAAGAAGAGCTAAGGCACATCTAGGCCCTGGGCACATTTGTTGAAGGCTGCACTGCTCAGGTGGCAGCCAGTAGGGAGCAATGTGAGTGATGACTTTCAATCCTTTTCTGAAACCCTCGGTCCCAGAGCAAAGCCCCAAACGGGCCCAGTGCCCATCTCTCTAGTCTTGAGGATGTGGCTGAGCAAAAAAAGAAGGCAGATACTTTCCTTCAGTTCCTGATCTGACACCAGCAGATTTACATCTAGATACATCATAGGGTTGGTCAAATCAAATCAAACTCAAAATGGCCTTTTTAGTTCCTGGTTTTGTTTTTTGGGTGGAGGGGAAGAGCAGTAACTGGGTTTGAACTCAGGACCTGAAGCTTGCTAGGCAGACTCTGTCCATGTGCTTAGCTCTATAGCACATGCATTCTAACTGCTCTTGAAAGCAGTTAGAAGATCGATTCCTGGTTCTCTTCATTTTGAAGTACATCTTGGTTCCCACGGTCCTGCTCTTGCTAACACTCCCGGGGCCTAGAGAAAGCTCCTGTGCTCCTGTGTCTTGAGAAAGAGCATTCAGTCCTTGCCAACCATGGAAATCCTTAAATGCAACTGCCCACTTCAGCTCACATTCCTGACCTTGGGGGATGCCTGAGAGTTGGGACTGTAAACACACACAATTCACACACTCACTCATCCACAACACACACACACAGCCATCTGGTTTGTTCTGGTCTGCTCTTCCAGGCCAAGCCTTAAAGCAGGAATAGCAGGGAAAACAAAGAACAGATGACACATTTCTCCCCTACATGTTAACTTTAGTCCTTTCATGCTGCATTGTTTGCTGTTACCATCTGTCACTTGTCACTTTCAGGAGAGAGGTGCCATGATGACATGGCAACTGAGCTTCCCTTCCTCACAAAACTAATGAGCACTCAAAGCAGATAGATACCTTCCAGTATTGTCCCAGGAAAAAACTCCTGAGGGCTGTGCTCCATGCCCGAGGGCAGGAAGAACACAGACCTGAAGCAGGCCTGGCGGGGACTCTGTGTCTGTTGTGTTTCTGTCAAAAAGAAATACTGTCATATGATCACCATGGACTGGGGTGGACACACACACACACACATACAACCTGTGCAGGGCACATTTCTGAAGTCACTATGGGGCTGGGCACAGCTCAGTGGCAGAGCACCTGCTTAGTGTGTGCAAGGCCCTGGATTCTACTTCCAGCACCGCAAAATACATACATACATAAATCAATCCATAAAGTCTAGACAGCTGTTTAGAAAACAATTTATTTGAACCTATGAAAGGAAAATTTAGAGACCCGCGATAAAACAGCTCCTTTCCAGGGTGACAGGTGTCCCTGAGCAATGCCCAGTGCTGCACCTGAGCTTGGGTGGCGCCAGCCATTCCAGCTCTGAGCTCATGGAGCTGCAGAAAGAGCCTGTGTTGACGGCAGAGCAGGTCACATTCCTGAGGAAAGAGGCCAGCAAATGGGCTGGCAGAGAGACTTCTCCGTCCGTGTCCCACGGAGGGGCTCTGAGTATCTGAAAGACACTGAGTGAGCCCAGGCTTGTGGAACTGGCCATTTAAAAACACAGCAGCGCTTCCCTTTCATTCATCCAATCTGGATTTTTAAGAATGTGACCAGGAAGCACGTGGACTGTGGTGAACCTCCTCACCAAGATGGTTCTGCTGGCCAGGAGGGGCTGTCCACTGCCTCAGAGGGAGCTCTGCTGGGGGCCAGCACCCCTTTCTCAGAAAGCACCCTCAGCCCGGGTACAAAGGCACACAGCCGCTCGGCGGCACAGAGAGGCTGGCCTAGCGGATGGGCCTGAATGGGAAGGTCATGCCTGAGATGAAGGTGTGCCCGGGCAGCGCAGGGTGGGCGGCAGGGTGGGCTGGCACAGCCCCGTAGCCCAGCGGGGGCGTGTGGATGTGAGGGTAGAACCCAGGGGGGAGCGCTGTGTGTGGTGACTGCTGCACGGGGCCTGAGATCACCAGCTGGAGCAGGCTGCAAACACAAGGAGAAGGGTTAGGAAGGGTTAGTCCAGTTTCAAGGCAGTGTACTGCAAATGCCTCAGTGTCTCCCTGTCCCCCTGCACCTGGCCCTGAACATGGCGGCACCTCCCACACCCCATGGGCCAGGAGAGCCACCGATGGAGGCACACACCACGGGGGCGTCTGGGCAAGTGACCCTAAGCACAGGAGGAGGGAGGGATCGTAGATGGCTTGGAAGAACAGAGAGGCGATGAGGGAGGCAGGTCTAGGGAGAGCCACGAGGAGGGATGGCGGAGGCAGAGCCACCACCCTCAGCAAGGGTATGCGAAGAGGGAGGTCTGCCTATCAGCCCACTGAAGGGCGACCTGTTTCAGCGCAGCTGCGCAGCACCACCGCCATCAGGCATCACATTACAGGGCTGAGCTCCAGGCAGGCATTAGCCGCACACGAGTACGCTGTTCAATGACCCTCAATCAAGGGGCCGGTGCTCCCCTTGGGCACAGCCTAGAGCTGCACCCCCAGGTGTTCCAAGCTCCTTCACAGCAGGGCACTGCCTCCTACCACCTCAGAACCCCACCCTCTGCTCCACAGCCAAGCCTGGGTGTCTGGCCTTGCCCTGCTCTCCTTGGGAAAGACTTTCCTCTTTCCACAGCCTCCAGATTCTGGAAAGTGTCCTTCCTGAATTCAGTGTCAGTTTCCAGTGCTAGGTCCTTCGGAGACCCTTCTCCGGCTTCTCCTCAACTGTCCTTTCTAGTCCACCCCCCTCAGCACCCTGCAGGACCTCCCGACTTCGCTCCCACCACCAGCTCTCCTGCCCGTCCTGCCATCAGCCTTGGTGCCCACAGCTCCCCACGCTGTACCCCGCCACCGAGCACACAGCCTCCGCCTATCCCCACCACACGGGGCTCACACACACACAGGCTCTGCACAGAGGTCAGTCTTGGCCTGCGGATAGCACCACCGCGTCAGGCTCCACGCTGAGGCCCCGGTCTCCTCCTACCCCCTTCAGAGCCCCTGAACTTGGTCCTCACCCACACCTCGGCCCAGCTGGTCCTGCGTGTGCGCAGAGGCTATCTACCCTGGTCTGTAATCACAAAACATGGCTTATCAAGTCCTTTTTCAGACACGCACATACACACGCACACACACCCCGTCACTGCTTAAACCTGTTCCCACAAACTCTACCATCCACACACGGCCACGGGGCAATGCTGCACCTGACAGCTGTTCCTCCAGATGGACCCTGCTGCTCCCCAGACAGGCTCCTGGGCTCCAAGGGAAGAGGCTCCTTTTGCAGATTCACTTTCACCCACCCCTACCCCCGGCAGCCGCCCAAGGGGAGGAAGAAGTTGGTGCAGCTGACAGTCTGCAGCTCCCTCACCCTTGTCATTCACGTCACTAATCTTTAGAACTCTGGCTAAGAAGCTCCGTCAAGAGTTTTACAAATCCAAGGAGCACCAACGACCGTAGCCAAACTGAGGTGGTGTGTTTGAACCTGCTCACCGTAGAGATTCAGTCTTTCCAGTCAACACAAAAGAGACCATGAGAATTCAGAGTACTCCTTGGAGGCTGGGAAAAAGCAGAGGACTAGTGGGGGCTCCCAGGGAAAGCCGGCCTCAGAGCTGTGGGTTCCCTTCCCTCCACAACTTATGCAGATACAGAACCAGGATGCCTTCCCTGGAGAACCAATGGTGTGGCCTAGAGGAGCCCCCAGCCACCCCCTTCCTTGGCTTGCCCTGAACTGGCAGCCAGTCGATCCATGGCCTCCAGGGATGCATGTTTCTGCCTCAGCATTCCAGACCCTGCCCAAACCTGCCAGCCTGGCAGAGCTGGGGGTCAGGCCTTGGGTGGCTGTGACATCCATAATGCAGCCACGCTGCTTCACTCCACCATCCACACTGGCTGCTACCACCAGCCCTGGAAGCCAGGATCCTTGAGATGTAAAGCAGGACAGCAGTAATCCTGCCAGCCAGGCCTGGCTGTTTGCACTTCTGTAAACTCTGTATGTGCGGCAGATCCGCCTCCAAACATAAACATTGCCTTGCACGGTCGCCACAGACGCTACTCTTAGTGACACTGCAATGTTCTACCCTTCTGAGGTATGAGGCTAAGCTACCAGGGCTTCCTGGGCCTGGGATGGCTGGCCCACTTCCAGTTTACTGATGCCACACCTGCGTGAAATGTCTTTGGACATGAACCTTATGGCCTCTTTTCTCAGGAAACATTCACAGAAGTGGAATTCCTAAGTGAAGAAAGGAACGGCAGTGTGCACTGACCACACCCTGGCACTGCTCCAAGTGACCACTTACTCCATTGTCATAAAGCCTCGGGTGTGGGGTGAGGCAGGAACTATGATTCTTTTTTGGGGGGCAGTACTGGAGTTTGAACTCAGAGCTTCACACTTGCTAGGCAGGTGCTCCACTGCTTGAGCCACTCCCCATCCCTTTTTCCTCTTGCTATTTTGGAGATCAGGGCTCCCTTTTTGCCCAGGTTCTCCTATTTTATGATTCCCACTGTAGCTGGGATGACAGGCATGCACCACCACACGCAGGAGCTATTGGTTTAGATGGATCTCACAAACTACTTTTGCCCTGGCTGGCCTCAAACCATGGTCCTCCCAATCTCAACCTCCCAAATAGTTAGGATTATAGGCTTGAGTCACTGCACCGAGCTAAGAACTATGACTCTTTTGAGTTTTCAGATGAGAAAACCATGGTGACAGAAGGCAGACAGCCTGCCCAAGGTGACAGGGACACCATTCCCTGCTTTTCACACTGTTACTGCAATTATGGAGAGGAATCCATGGCAGAGGAATCTACAAATGCCATATTGTTTTATCCCTGCTACACCTGTGAGGCAGACAATGGTATTACTTGTTTTACCTGGGGGAAACCAAGGTTCAGAGACGGGAATAGATTGCCCAAATGTCACAGCAAACCAGAGTATTGCTCAGAAACCAGGTCCCTGCTGCTGGAAGCCCGAGCTCTGGCATAACTAATACTTGGCTCTGGGGTGTCGACCCCATGGTACTTCCCAAAGGTTAATGTAGATTGGACTGTCACAAACATTAAACAGAAGCTTGCATGATGCTTGGGAGTGTGCTCTGGAGTCACCCCGGCTCACAGCAAGAGGCCACTTTTTCATGTCTACCCTCTACTCAGGGCTCCTCTCGTGAGGACTATGTTAACACTTCAGTTTCCCACTCATCAGGTCCTAAAGGGGCTCTTTATAGGAAAGCTCTAGACCCTGCAGACCACCTCGCAAGGAACAAGGATCAAAATGTCTGCCCAGTGTGGCCACCCGCCGCCCCCACCCTGCCCCAGCAATGGCGGCCCAGCTACAAGCCTTAGAGGGCACCTACTTGTTATGGGGCAGCCTGGAGCACAGAGTTCTCAGGTCATCTGAAACCAAGGAGACACAAGGTTAAAAAGCAGACTGGAGACAGGGAAACTGTTTGCTCAGATTCTGCAGCAACTGTGTCTAAGGCTGTATGTTTCCAGAATCCTTTAGAAACTGGATTTTCCTTTTCTTCTGTTTTTGTTTTAACAAAATGGCCCAAAATAGAAGAAGCCACTTAGAAAGGGGACGGCCTCGTTGACACTGTCAGGTGGCTGAGAGAGTCTGCAGGTAGGGCTCTCACTGAGCAATCAGACACCCAAGGCATTCTGGGAACAGCAGTAAGATGGGAAACTCACTGCTGGACAGCAGCTGGGCCACAGGCAACCGTTGTGAGTGAGTCAACACTTAAAAAGCAAAGGCAAGCAGTCACTGGCACCAGGCCATTCTCTGGGGATGTTTGCACATCAAAATGCAGGGGCATTAGGAACTCAAAATGGGCAGTGGGTTGTTCACCACGACTGGGCAGCATGAGTGTGGACATGTGTCCCAACGTGGAGAGCTTTGCACTTCCCACATGTGCAAACTGTATGTAAACTATACTAGGGAAAAGGACTGCAGAAGAGGCTTCCTCAACAGAAAGATCCTCTATGCCCTCGAGGTGCCCTAGTCCTGGGTAAAAAGAGCCAGGAGACACCCAGGTGTCACATCTATAGCATATGAGGAGCCTGAATGAAGATGAGCAGGGTGACAGGGAGCCTCTGGGGATCATTCTGGGATTTCCTCCCTCCTCCCTTGTTTACCAGGAGGAAAGGAAGCCCTAAAAGCAGCAAAAACAGCATCTGTCTAGGAGCCCCTATTTTCTCTCTGCCCGGGTAGTGCTGTTGTGGCTCCCAGGCCTGGGGGGGAAGAGGGGAAAGCACCCACCTCTTGTACACAGCAGGGCTCCTGAAGCCATGGCCACCTGCAAAGCCTGTGCTAGTCGGTCCAGCGAGAGCTCGATCTCCTGTGAGGCATTGAGGGGGTTCAGTTCATCTGCTAGTCTGTTGACCTCCTCTACTAGTGGGACCATGTGGTCAAACAGAATGAGCCCCAGGCGCCCATACAGATTCTTCTCAGTCAAGTGCAGCTGGAGCGTCATGAGGACCTGCAGCACGCTGAGGTGGAGTTTCGAGTATAGGACATGGCAGTCTCTGTCCATCCCCGCGCCTGGGTCCTTGGTGACCTTGTTACTGATGTGGCCATTGGACAAGCAGGGCTTCTTTTTCCTCTTGTAAGCCAGAGGGGCCTTCACGCACCAGCGGATCAGCCCAATGAGGGGAGTGAGCTCTAAAAATCCGATTGGGAGATTGGCTGCGATCGGAGTATTTAAAAAAGTGATGAGAATCAACCTTGGGTCCTCGAAAATCCAGGTGACAATCATTTCAAGCAAGTCCAAGGGTGGGATGAGGTCATCTGTAAACAAACCCCACTCAGTCAGAAGTGCTCTCAGCCTGGAGGGCAGGACAGCAGTGGACAGGGATGATGATGCTCAGTCCACGACTGTCCCACCTGGACTCAGATTCTTACTGCCTGTCTCCCTTTGTGAACACCCACCCCAGGAGGACTTGTTTTACTCAACGCTTCATCCAAGGTGCCCAAGACCCTCTGGCCAAAGTCAAAGCTTAGAAAGTATTTGTTAAGTCAACTATTCCTTAGAACTATTCCTTAGTCATGCTTTGAAATCACCACCTAGGTGTCAACTTCGTAAGTTTCACACTTCTTAGATACAAAACTATACCATGCTTTATCCCTTCCCTTTACTGTGTCACTTCTATGGTACAGCGAGTTACGGTGGCCCTCAGAGAGCAGCTGAGAGTCCTGTGATTCATCTGTCAGCTGGAAATGGCCCCCAAACTGGAACCTTCATCTAGATAAGTTTGACTTCCTGTGATGCCAGCACCCAGCATGTTCCAGAGCTTACACACGATCTTAGTCCTTTATACAGACTAACATAGTTAGTCCATGCAAAAACATGAAAAAATGGACACACAGTAATTTCCTAGGACTCATCACAAGTATGTGGGGCTGAGATCTAACAGTGGTAGCCTGGCTTTCAGGCCACCAGGCTAAACTGCCCACCCTGGGATCAGAGCATAAAAAGCATCAAGGCAGCTGGTGTGCTAAACAAACCTTTGGAGGTAAATTATCAGCATGACTTAATTTTAACCATCGCTGTCAGTCACCTTCAAACAAGTTTCAATAGCTTGATGAGAAATTCTTATATTGTATTATGTTTTTGTATATTGAGAATTTCAGATGAAGTGTAATTCTTTTATAATTTAATGGATTTTATAGAAAAAAACTGAAGCCTCGAGCTCCACACCTTCCTACTGTTCACACCAGCTGGGCAAGAGGAGTCTCTGTGTGCGTGGGGGCACTTCTTCCTCTTCTGGCTCAAAGGTACAGATTCCCCCAGGATGCTCTGGCTGCCAGAGTACCCAAGAGCAACATGAACTGCCATTTTGATGTCATCTCCAGGTCTGGGCCACCACTGTACTGAGTGGCTGGGGGAATCTCCAATGTTAGGTAGACCCACTGCTAACAAAAAACCCACCATGCTCTAGATACCCTATGTGCAAGTGCTACTCTCTGAACAGTATTTCCTATGGCACATGCTCCTTCATCCAGTCCCAATGTCAAGGCCAATTTCTGTCCCATTGGCCTGAGGTAACTGAGGACAACTACAATGCTGTGAGCCGGCATTCATGAAATCTTCCCTACTGGAAGATGAAAGGCCTGAACATGGATCCCAGCTATTAATGACTCTTAGGAAAATTTGTAAGAGAGAGCCAGGGAAAACTTCACCCCAGCAGTGCAGCTCTGCTCCACAGGACCTGTCTGCTACTCCAGAGGCAGCAGCTCAGGAAATGGAAGCACGGACTCCATGTGGAAACACGGCATGCACTCGAATGTCTAGACTATTTCCATACCAACTGTCTTGAGAGCTACAAAGTTTAAAAGCAAGAAAAAAGGAGGACCATCAGAGACTGCCAAAAAGGATTACCTCAAACCTCCTCCTAAGGAAATAAGCAGACAAACCCAAATTCAGAGTATTCAGAAAAACAACAGGTCTGCACTCTTCAAAAATGCCAGTGTCATAGACCAAAGGGTGGACTGGGGTTTTGGCTCAGTATAGAGCACTTGCCTAGCATGTGAAGGCCCTGGGTTCTATCCTCAGCACTGAGAGGGGAAGGGAGACCAAAGAGATATGACAATCATGTACAATGTATGATTCCTAATTGATGGCTGGGAGTGTGGCTCAAGTAGTAATGCATTTGCTAGCAAGCATGAGGCCCCGAATTCAAATCCCTGTACCACCTCTTCCCCAACATAAATAAAAGAAAAAGCAAGATGAGACCATTAGGGAAATCCGAAAATAGGCTGTATCATAGGTAATAGTATTCCATAACCATTAAAGCTCCTAGGTGTGATGGTAGTGTGGTGATGTACTAGAACATTCTTACGCTCAGGAGACACATGTCTAAGTGCTTAGCACATCATGGTCAGCAACAAATTTTCCACAGTTTGAGGGGGCAGGGATGCTTGGGGTAGGTGTGCACAGGGAGAAAGAATGTATAGCAAAATGCTAGTGGATGAGTCTAGGTGAGAAGTGTATGAGTGTTTGTTGTTCTATTCTTGCAACTTTTCTTAATATTTGAATCTTTCCAAATAAAGAATGGGGAATAAAAAGGTAGGTCATAGCCAAGCATGGTGGTACATACCTATAATCCCAGCATTTGGGAGGTAGAGGCAGGAGGATCGTGAGTTTGAGGCTAGTCTGGGTTGCACAGTGAGACCCTGTCTCAAAAAAAAAAAAAAGTCATGTGTCTATGGAGAAGCCACATCTCACCAGACTCCAGCCCTGGCTTTGGGGCATTTGCCACTTCCATTAGGATTCAGGTAGTTGGGGTTACTACAGAAATATCACAACAGAATTGAACAGCAAACAAAATAAGAAAACGTCCAAATACATGGAGGCCGAGAATTGCACTGCTGAATGGCAGTGGGTTGTTACAGAAATAAGGCTAGAAATCAAATGAAAGTGGAATGGCTCAAGTGGTAGAGGGCCTGCTTTTGCAAGCAGGAAGCCCTGAGCTCTAACCCCAGCATCCCCAAATAAGAAAGTGAAACTCCTCATACCAGAACTGTTGTGACATGGAAAACAGTGCCAAGAGGCAAGTTTGTAGTTATGAATGCCTAGTGATGCACCTCAAGAAATATATTTCAGGAAAAAAAAAAAAGGCAAAATATTCACTGGACAATAACAGAAGCTGAAGTGTCTTTGGCAGTAATGACCTGTGTAACGTTTACCTGAGGACAGGTCGTAGAGCGCAGTGACAGATGTTATGAACTGGCAGCAGAATCGTGGGCTGGCACTGAATATCTGCTTCAGCGTCTGAACGGAGCCTGGCACTAAACAGCAGTAGTCATCCACGAGGGCCCTGGCCAGCCTCACACAGTAGACCACAGGTGTCCGCTGGAAAGAAGCCACAGCTCACATAAGTACAGGTGTCCAGAGCCAGCAGGTAGCAGTTATGTACAAATGGAGAAGACCACCAGAAGTGGCAGACCCACTTCCACAAGGGGAGAGAGAGAACAATGGTCTCTAAAGCCCACAGACCAAATCTCTTGCCCCCAACAGTTCCACTGAGATGCAGCCTTGCTCCTTTGTTTGCCTGCTGGTCCAAGGCTGCTCTTGCACTACAAGGACAGAGCTGAATGACTATGCCAGAGATGAGGTGGCTTGTGACCCTTGCTGTGAATTTGTTAGGAAAGACCATTTCTGACTTTGAGTGAGGAAGTGATAAGTTTGGTGACGTTATAGGGCTGCAGGTGAGACTCAACAGGTAAAAATTAAAGTTGCTACCACTTTGAAGACACCGAGGAGTTTGTGAAGTATTACATGATTATTGTTTGCTTTGAGCAGCACTTTTCAAGATCCTCTTAGAAACCTTTCTCTTCCACAGGTCATCAACCACCCTCCCTAGCCTTTTCCTTCCCACGCCTATGTCTCTGGCTAGCCCTGGTCACACTCAGCATCTGTTCACACACCACTGTTCCAGGGCATCAACTGGGTCTAAGACAGCAAGGCCAGTGGTTCACCCAGCCTATCACCAGCCCTATAGCACCAAAGCAGTCAATAAGAACACCGATTCTTGGAGGCCCTGACCCAATGTGCCAAACCCTCACCCAAACTACAAAGACCTTGTCCTTTACTAACAGCTTTCATTCTGCCAAAATACCAGCATGACATCTTGAGAGATAAGTGAAAAATTACATGATTAAAGACACCAACCTTAGTTTCACTACATCATCAAAGGATGCACGAAAACCTGAGATCAAATACAACACAAATGATGACTCTGGATGCCCCAGAAACTGGTTTGGTGAGAATTAAGGCAGGTTGCACCAACTTACCTGTGTACTACACGTAACACTGTTCCTGCTAGCCAAATTTATGGATAAGCAAGGTTACAAGAAAAACATTAATTAAATTGGGAGAAAAAGATGTCAAGTACTTGAATTAGGCAGGTTTATGAAACTGAATGTAGTGAGTTCTATTAGCTTGGCTAAGGAACAGGTTAGCCAGAATTTTTTTTTTTTTTGGCATTTTGCAAAATGCCATCTAACACTAAACCTATTGTAAATATACACTTCTTTCCATGTAGTCACTGGAAGAGTCATCAACTGTGTGATGCTACCCTAGAACCACACAAAACAATGCACATGCTTACTGAACTACATGTATAGAAAACAACTTTCTATCTGTAATTCCAGCTACCTGGGAAGCAGAGATTGGGAGGGAAGATTGAGGTTTGAGGCCAACATGGGCAAAACTTAGTGAGATGACCCCCCTCCACCAACAACAACCAACACACCAGGTGTGGTGGTGCGCCTGTGAACCCAGCTATGCAAGAAGCACTAGGTAGGAGAATCATGGTCTGAGGCCAGCCTGGGGCAAAAGCAAGACCCTATATGAAAAAATAACTAAAACAAAAAAGGCCTTGGATGTGGCTCAAGTGGTAGAGCACCTGCCTAGCAAGTGCAAGGCCGTGAGTTCAAAGCTGATGCCTTCTAATGTCAGGCAAACGTCACAACTTGATGCTCAATGATCTTTTAAAAAAAGAAAAATCCTATCTTTGAGACTATATGTATACTGTTTTCAAACTCCTACAATTTTGCCTAAAGAAAAGACTTTTTACTTGTTCTAAAGAATTAGCCAGGCACTGGTAGTTCACACCTATAATCCTAGCTACTAGGGAGGCTGAGATCTGGAGGACTGAGGTTCAAAACCCACCAAAACAAATACCTGGGGACTCCATCTCCAAAATAACCTGTGCAAAATGGACTGGTCGTGTGGCTCAAGTGGTAAAGCACTGCTTTGGAAGTGCAAAGCCCCGAGTTCAAATCTAATCCCACCAAAAAAAAGTAAAAAAAAAAAAAAAAAAGAAAAAGAATTAATTTACCATTACTAATTATTGTAAGAACAGCTGCATTCTGTATGTAAAAGTGAGACTGGGGTGCATAGGGCAGTAATGAGCTAGGACCTAATGTATGTGGAAAAGACCTTCATCCAGTTCCATGAAAATTCCTGACAGCAAGCTCATCTTCAGAGACTCGGAGGACTGGGCTGTTTCCTGAGCAGTACCTGGAGCCAGGAGGCTGCACACTCCAACACGGGGATCCGACACACAGCCACTGCCATGGAGACCAGTTTCCCCAACAAGCTCATCCGGCTGTCATCTGCTTTGTTCCCTTGAGGGCTGAAAAGTGATGAGAAAATAATCTGCCGCACAGAGTCCTTGGTTTGTTCCTGGAAATAATTGCACATGATTTCAAGAAGTTGAAGCTCTTGGAGCGAATTCAGTCTCTGTAAAAACAAACCCAGGGGTAGCTGTGAGAAACGTGGCTTTTCACATGCTTGTGAGCTGCCGGCAAGCGAGCAGGAAACGGATTATGCTCTCCAGGGTATACTGTTCACCCTTCTGAAGCCCAGCCCTCAGGAGTAGGACTGGGCTACTAAGATCAAGAGAAAGTCCTGTATATCACTGTCTATCACCTGGAGCTCCGGGGATGACCCACAAGGGCCGCAACTCCAGATAAGAGGCCTTTAGCGGAAAAAACGGGCAGTCCCTAAAGTGTCTTCCTGGAACACCCCTGATGGGCGGCTGTCACAGGGAGCAATGGCGAGGTGCTGGGGCTGTGCTCAGGGGGTCTGCGGGGTCAGGAGTCTGCAGGGCTGGGGGGGGCTGCGGGGTCAGGGGTCTGCAGGGTTGGGACCAGGGGGGATGCAGGGCTGGGGGCAGGGGGTCTGCGGGGTCAGGAGTCTGTAGGGCTGCGGGGTCAGGGGGGCTGCAGGGCTGGGGTCAGGAGTCTGCAGGGCTACAGGGTCAGGGGTCTGCAGGGCTGGGGCCAGGGGGGATGCAGGACTGGAGTCAGGGGTGCTGCAGGGTCAGGGGGGGCTGCAGGGCTGGGACCAGGGGGGCTGCGGGGTCAGGGGGCTGCAGGGCATGGCAGGGCAGGCCGGCACCTTGGGCTGCGCGCCGCGCTCCTTGGGCACCTGGAACACGAACTCCTCCAGCAGCTCCACGGGGCCCTTGTCCACGATGGGCAGCGGCGCGCTCTGCAGCTGGCTGCTGAAGTAGATGTCCAGGTGGTACAGCACCTCCTTGGCGGCGCTCAGCGCGTCGCGGCGCAGCAGCGAGTGGCGGATGTCGCTCATGGTGCGGCCGCGGCGGCCGGGCGCCCCGCGCGTCCCACTTCCGCCCGGGAGCTGGGGACGCGCCGCAGCCTACGGAGGAGACAAAGAGGCGCGGCCCGGCCTCCGCTCCGACGCGGGCTGCGCCGCGGCGCCCGCCCTCCCGCTGCTGTCTGTTGCCGGCCCGCTCAGGAGGCCATCGCCGCCGCCACCGGCCAGCAGGCACCCGGGGTCCGATTGCGGCGCCGCCCAGAGCCGCGGGAGCAGACACCGCGCAGCCGAACGGCGGCGGAATGCCAGGGTGGCGACGGCGGCCGGCAGTGGCCAAGCGCAGGCCGCGGCTTCGCGCTCAGGACGGCGCCCCCTGGCGGCGCGGCCCCGCTGGCGGGAGGGCGGGGCGCCGCGCACTGATTAAGTAGGCCACGCCCCCGCTCACCTAGGGAGCCCTAGCGAGCTGCGCGAGCCGTCAGGCCCTGCGGTGCGCTCCCCTGGAGACTCCGAGACGCCCTTGCTCGATGTGCCACGGCCGGGGCCTCCACCGTACTTTCCAGGTAGGGCGGTGGTGCAGGGTGTGGCTTGGTCCCCGTCCCAGCCGTTCGTCTGAAAGGTTGCACTTGCTGTGAACCCCTGGCTGCTAGAAGAGCTGACGCGTGGTCCTGGCCCCCTACCCCCGCCCCGTCCCCGGTCCCCACCTCCTATCTTCAGGGCCCCTATTTCCAAGTCCTCTCCAGAGCCCTGGGCTCTCTGGCTGCTGCTCCTTGATCTGGCCTGGGAGGGCCATGGTAATTTTAGTAGCCTACAAAGGTCCAGCCAACCTGCTTCCTGCTCTTGAGAACCTTCCCACCCTAAAACCCCTCAGTACTTGATACGACCTCTTCTCCGCATTCATCTCTCTGCACTCAATTAGCTGGCAGTTTCCCTTTCGGTTTTTTTTTTTTAAACAGGGCAGAAAAGATTTGACTATGGCCAGCAGAGGCCACTGGAGGGCAAGGCAGGAAGCTACAAAACATAGAATGTGCCTTGAAGAAAAGGCCTGGCCTGGTAAAAACACGGTTAAGACAGTGAAAATCTGGTGGGGGGGTAGACAGACAGGGAAGGGCATAAAAGAAGGTGCAGCTAGCACAATCCCAAGATGTTGTCACTGAAACCCTTTTGCCTCTCAGGAGACATGGCTGTAAGGCCCTCCTGTGCAAGTACTCAGAGTGCAGTGAGACACGAAGGTCTCCTTCTCACCCAGCACCTCACACAAGTCATCTCTTGACCCCTGACACCAGGACCCCAGGGTGATCAGTTCCAGGAGAGGTATCTGTCATAGTACCTGGCAAAGGCCAGGCACCCACATAACCCTAGTCTCCTGTCCCTCCCTTCCTCACTGAAAGTTCTTTTATACACACAGCAGAAACCAAAACAATGCTTAGGAAATATGCATTCTCCTGCATACATAGATGTATACTATATTTAAATGGCATTAACAGTCTCCATTCTTATTTCTTCTTTCTGTCATAACAGGCAACAGCAGGTAGAAAGATCTCTCCAAGGTTGCTCCAAAGCCCATGGGAATGAATATTCTGGTAGATCTTGGGCTCCCCTGATGGGGGCCCGGCCACCATGGGGCAGTGCTGGCACCAGGCCCAGTCCCCTCTATACCATTCATTTGTGGTCTGGTTGGTGACAGCCAGGTACAGAACAAAGCACAGGTAGCCCCCCAGGAGGAAGCTGAGCACCATGACAAAGCCCAGCAAGAAGACGATCCGTGGAAAGCTCAGGAACAGGTACTGGGGACAAAGAACAAGCAGTGCATTAGGAAGTAGACTGACATCCACAGGCTCTTGTCCACACACCACACTTGCTGCCTGGCTCACTGCCTTCATCCCAACCTGACCTGCTGGACACAAGTCCATAGTCAGCAATGACAACAGCCCAGGAAGAATCCCAGTGTGGGCAACAGCTTACTGTGTGACAAATGGAGAGTTCACACGGAGGGAAAGGCTACTCAGGGAATGCATTATGCCAGGTAGCTATTTACAAGATAAACAAATACATGTAGACCTTAGTCCATCCACTGAAATAAAATCCAGATGAACAAGAGAAACCAATGTCTCCCTTAAGTAATCCCAGCGAAAAAATACACACACAGGGAGATTCACTGTGGCATGAATTTCTTTTGTTGTTTTTCTATTATTTTTACTGTTGGCAGTACTGGGATTTGAACTCAGGGCCTTGTGCTTGCCAGGCAGGTGTTCAAACACTTGAGCCATGCCCCCTGCATTTTTTGCTTTCATTATTTTTCAAATAAGGTCTGTTTAGGTTCAAGCCAGCCTGGACAGAGAGCCTTCTATTTGCACTTTCCCCTATTTACACTTTCCCTGAGTGGGGGCGACATGTGTGTGCCACCTGGGCCAGCTTTTCATTGGCTGAGATGGGATCTCTGGTTTTTTTGCCTGGTAACCTGAAACTGCAATCCTCCTGATCTTCGCCTCTTGTGTTGCTAGGATTGCAGGTGTGAGCCACCAAGTCCAGCTGTAATAGACTCTTAACATTCTCTTCCCCAAAAAACCCAGGTTAAATGTCCTGTTGTGACTCAGGGACAGTCACAAGAGAGATTAACAAGGAGCCATTAAAATTCAAGTCAGGGTTGGCATGGTGTCACGTGCCTGTAATCCTATTACCTGGGAGGCAGAGGTAGCAGGATCCTGGTCTGAGGCTGGCCCCAGGCAAAATGGGCAAAAGCTTAAGGCCCTACCTGAAAAATAAACTAAAGCAAAAACGACTGGGGGCATGACTTTGGGAGAGCGCCTGTCTAGCAAGTGTGAGGCTGAGTCCACATCCCAGTACCAATAAACCAACAAAACAAAGCACGGACAGACAAATCTGACAAGGAAGGATGGCTCAGATTTTTTTAATACCAAAAAACTCACACCTGGTGTCCAAAAGATACACATATAGAAAATAACAAAGGTTTAATTATCATTGTTATATAACTCAAATCAAAAGCTGTTCTGATATAAATAGGTAAAGGACATAATTCACAAAAAGCTATAGAAATGACAAACAAGGACAGGAATCAAAAAAATGTGATTTTAAAAAAAGTTTCCTTCCTTCCTTTCTTCCTTCCTCCCTCCCTCCCTCCCTCCCTCCCACCTTCCTCCTTTCTTTTTTTGTTCTGTTTCATTTTCTTGAGACAGGGTCTCACTAGGCAGGCCAGGCTGGCCTGGAACTCGAGACCCTCCGGCTTCACCTGCCTCAGCATCCTGAGTGCTTGGGATTACAGGTGTGAACCACTGTATTTTTCCACCAGGCCAGAAGAGCTTCCCCAGCCACGGGCAGCATCTCTGGCCCTGATGCACCGCCCTAAGCACAGCGCTAAAGAGCAGTTTCACAACACAAGCTAACATTGAAGTCTTGGGGCTGTTCATAGTCTTTGACCAGGATTTGCAGCTTTTGGAACCTCCCCTAAAGAAAGTATCCTAAATACAAAACCAAACCCATGTCTACAGATTACCCAGTGCAAAGGGGAAGATACCCTTGTGCACACACAGAGCTACGCCATCAGTCAACATGGCATCACTGATATATGCTCCCCTGAAGTAGGCAGTGTGAAACGCATCGCTACCGAGAAATGTGGTGGTCAGAAATCCTCACCTTGTACTGAATCACCCTCTACACCTCATTGGCAGTTTGCATCGATATAAAGGTGTGGGGAAAGATGAGAATGATGACATGATGTGGAAATGGGAACTGTAGAACCTGGGGCATTGCACAAGACAACCAGAGTACACCAGGTCAGCACTGTGGAAAAGGCAGGGGCACTGTTTCACACTAAGAGACCAAAAAGCCTAAGAGTCACATGCAGGGCACACCTACATGGTGGATTCTGGCTCAGGGACGTAGGCTATGAAAGATATCTTTGGACTGGGTGCAGCTGCTCAGCCTATGATCCTAGCTACTCAGGCGGTGGAGGTCAGGAGAATCGTGGTTCAAGGCCAGCCTGGGCAAAAAAGTTTTCAAGACCCTGCCACAACCAATGGCTGGGTGCAGTGCCATTTCCTGTCCCACAGTGAGGCACACACAGGAGGACTGCAGTCTAGGCCAGCCTGGACATAAAGCGAGACTCAACCTAAAACACAACCAAAGAGAAAAGGCTGGCAGTGTGGCTCAAGAGGTAGGGTGCTTGCACAAGGCACTGAGTTTAACCCCTAGCACACCAAGAAAAAAATCTATGTATATATATTTGTGCAGTTATATATAACTCAGTGGTAGAGCACTTTCCTAGCAAGCACAAGGCCCTGGGCTCCATCTGCAGCACCAGAAAAGAAAAGAGAGCTGGGCGTGATGGTGTATGCCTATAATCCCAGCCATGGGGAGGCTGAGATAAGAGGATGGCCTGACCTATACTGTGAGACCATGTCTCAGCAACAACAAGATACATTTGGAATATGGTCAAGGCAAAATATGAAGTTATTACTTCTCTTAGGTGAGAATTATCTAGAATGTAGACAGCCATAAAAGATGCATATGTAATCTAGGTAAAGGCATATGGATAGTCACTTTCATTTTTTTAAAACTTCTGGGTGTTCAGAACTTGGAGAAAAAATAATGAAAGCCATTCAAGGTGCAAACAATGAATTATGATACTATGTAGCCCAGGCTGGCCTGGAACTCATGATCCTCCTACCTCAGCCTCAAGTGCTGGGATTACAGGTGTGTACCACGACACCTGGCCCAGAGGTATCACTGCACACCTTTCAGAATGACTAGAATGAAAAACAGTGATAACATTACATGCTGGCAATGATGCAGAGAAGCTGGGTCACTTGCGTACTGCAGGAGGGAATGTAAAATGATACAACCACTTTGGAAAATAATCTGGGAGTCCTTCCTTTTCAGAGCCTAAAGTAGACTTATCCTATGACCCAAACTTATACTCAAGACTCATTTTTATGATGGAACTTTTAAACAAATGTGCATAGCAACTTTGTAGTAGCCCTAAACTGTACACTACCCAAATGTCCTTCAAAGGGTTAGATGGCTCAGCATTCAAACCATGGAACACTGCATGGGAAAGAGAAGGACGAGCTACTGATACACAATTTAAGGGAACTATGCTGAGTGGAAAAATCCCATGGGATTCTTATTTATGAAACATTTGTGAAATAAGAGACATGGGAAACAGACTAGCGGTGGCCAGGTGTTAGGGACAGGGAGGGAAGAAGTGGGTTTTGCTAAGAAAGGAAAGCTAGAGTCTGGTGACAGCACAGCTGAGCATCTTGGTGGCACGGTAGTTATGTGTGACTGTTCACGGGCAAGACCACATGGAGCTACACCTGCAGGCACATGAATGTAAAACCAGCAAAAGCTGGGTTGTGGGTTGTGCCAACACCACTTTCTAGGTTTCAGCACTGTACTGTGCTTGTACAAGATGTGGCATGGGAGGAGGTTAGGAATGCATAGACTTCCTGCAAGTATGTTTCTCTAATTCTAGAATTATTTACAAATAAGAGTCTAAAAAAATACTGGTTTTAGGACTAAATGGTGTGTGTGTGTGTTTATAATGTTGAGACCATGGCCCTCAGCCAGGCATGGTGGAGCACACCTATAATTCCAGCACTTGGGAGGCTGAGGCAGGAGGATCTTGAGTTTGAGGTTGGCCTGGGCTGCATAGTGAGACTTTATCTCAAAAAATAAGAAAGAAAATAGCCCTCACCAGGCACCAGTGACTCACGCCTGTAATCCTAGCTACTCAGGAGGCAGAGATCAGGAGGATCGTGGTTTGAAACCAGCCTGGGCAAATAGTTTGTGAGACCCTATCTCGAAAAAACCCATCCCAAAAAAAAGGTTGGTGGAGTGGCTCAAGGTATAGGCTCTGAGTTCAAGCCCTAGTACCACAAAAAAAAAAAAAAAAAAAAGAAAGAAAGAAAGATAACTCTCAATAGCTTTCCTTTTTTTTTTTTTTTTTGCAGTACTGGGATTTGAATTCAGGGCCTCACGCTTACAAGGCAGGTGCTCTCCCACTTGAGCCATTTCACCATCCCTCCTCAGTATCTTTCAATCCGTCCTTTTTGTATTTGTTTGTCACAAATGAGTGTTAAATTTTATGAAAGGTTTTCTTCAACATCTAAAGAAATAACCGTGTTATTGTTCCTTATATTTAATAGCGTAATAATATGGTTCATATTAATCAATTTCCTAATACTAAACCAATCTTGCGCTTCTGGAACACACACGACTGGTTTGTGGCATATTATTTTCTTTGAGACAAAAGAAATGGTGGCTTATGCCTGTCATCCCAGTTATGTGGGAGACGGGGAGGCTGAGATTAGGATTGCCATTTGAGGCAGCCCCAGCAAAAAGTTAGTGAGACTCCATCTTAGCCAATAAGCTGAGCATGGTGGTGTATGAGGTATAAACAGGAGAACTGCAGCCTAGGCCAGCATGGGCAAAAAACCTAATAGCCTATTAAAAAAATAACTGAAGCAAGAAAAGTTAGGGGTGTAGCTCAAGTGGTAGAGCGTATGCCTAGCAAGCATGAGGCCCTGAGTTCAAACCCCAGTACTACAGTACTACTACCCCCCACCAAAAAAAAAAGAAAAAAAAAAAATATATATATATATTCAGGGAGACATGAGACATGGCAGCCCACCCCTGTAATCACAGCACTCAGAAGGTGAAGACAGGAGGAGAACCATGAGTTAAAAGGCCCCAGCCTGGGTTACATAGCAAATGCCAGGTCAGCCTGGGTTATGTAGCAAGACCTTGTCTCAAAATTCCAAAAATTAAAACTTTTGATTTTTACAAAAAGACTGCTTATATGCTATTTCCCACAAATAAAGTAGAAATCTTTCAGAAATCAAATGAGTTTTTTAACAGAATGGCTTTAACCCTTATATTATGACAAATTAATTTTGTTGTTTGATTTTTGTTTTGTTTGGTTTTCTGCTTTTTTGTGAGTCCAGGCTGGCCTCAAACTCTCAATCTTCCTGCCTTAGCCTCCCAAGTCACTGAGATCACGGGCACATGCCACAGCTGGCTTGGTAGATTAATTTTGACAAATTAAGTGCCAGAATAAGTGCGAAAAAAATCATACATTTAATAAATGGAGCTGAGACAACAGGACATCCATATAGTAAAGAATAAAGTTGCAACCCTTTAACATATGGAGGATCTCAAGTTAGAAACCAAACCAACCTGAGCACATAGTGAGACGCTGTCTCATAAAACAAAAAACTCAAAATGTCTAAACACTCAAGTGTTCATCAATTTATGAATAAGTAACAGTATGGTACAGCCACACCATGGTAAGTACAGACTCATGCTATGATATGGATGAAACCTAAGAAACTTATGCAACAAGAAAGAAGCCAGTCAAAAAGGTCACACTTATAGGAAATGTCCAGTTAAGGCAAATTCATAAAGACAGAAAATAGATAAACCATTGCCAAGGCCTAGGGGAAGAAGGAACAGGGAGTGTTTGTTTTTGGGGTAATGAAATGTTCTGAAGTGAGATCCTGGTGATGGGTGCACCACTCTAAAAGCACTGAATTGTACATGTTAAAAGGGTAGATTTTAGGGCATGGGAATTTCTCTACCAATTAAAAAAGAAAAAAATAAAAAAGGAAAGGCCTCCTATTTTTACTGGGAAAATAAATCTTTTTTCCAATTCTGAAACCTACAACCCACTGCATAATTACCTGAATAAGAAAAACCGTGTCCATGGCCTGGAAGTGTCCAAAGTCATCAATGTAAGTTTCCTGGTACAGATCCGATACCATCACCAGGCGGACCAGGAACGCAGTGCTCACGATGGCCATGGTAGCAGCTGAGGCAGTCAAAGTCAAGAGGTAGATGAGGAAGTACCTGGTATTCCACACCCCAATGCAGTTGTTCACCCAAACACAGTGGTGGTCAAAACGGTGCACACACCAGTTACACACACCTGCGGAGAAAGGAGCAAGACATTGACAGCATGCACAGCTACTGAGATTTTTACAAACTGACATAGGCAGAGTGTGTGTGTGCATGTGCACACGTGTGCCTGTGTGAGTGTGCATGTGTATGAATGTGTTTGTATGTTTGTGTGTATGTATGTGTGTGTGCGCGTGTGGTATGTATCTATGTGTGTACATGTGTGTGTGTGGCAGCTGCTGTCACCAAACTTTTAGAACTGCAGTGTCCAATACAGTAGTTCATGTGTATTGAGCACTGAAATATGGCCACAAGAAAAATGAGAACATTGACCAGTTTACAGTTGTGTTTCAATTTATGCACTGCTCCTCTGAATTCAACCTGAGTAAGACTAAGGAGACATGAGTGTTCACAAGCTTCCTCACTGCAGATAATTGCAGCCAACTCTTCTGATGAAGATGACTGTGATTCAATGGAGACATGCACAGTGAAGGGAAACATTTAGGTGCTGAATTCAGTTACTGGAAAACTTTAAAGAATGCCTAGATTTGGTTTGGGTATGTGAGTCTACTCTTCCCAGTGTGATTTCTATGAATCAAAATATAGAGCAACTATTTCCAATGAGTATCTGAATTGAGATGTGTTGTAAATGTAAAATACACTCCAGATTAAAAGGGGACTATAAACTATCTCCTGAGTATTTCTATATCAATAACATGCTGAAGTGCTATTTTAGGGCTGGGAGTCCAAGCTCAGTGGTAGAGCACTTGCCCAGCATGTGCACGGCCCTGGGTTCAACCCCAGCACTGCAGGGAAAGAAAAGATACTTTAGGTATGCTGGTTTAAATAAAGTAGATAATTATGACTAAGTAATTGTTCCTTTTGTGATGTGGCTACTAGTAAGTTCTACATACACATGTGACTCACATAATATATCTTTGTTAGATGGTCCTAGTCTAGAATCTTGGCACAAGACCAGGCTTTGCCAGGACTGAACTCTGCAAACTCAGCATCCATGTCTCGGGCAACATGCCCTGTCACACGGCAAAGGAAGGATCTAGGCCACGGCTGCAGATCAGCCCCTACATAAAAACACACACTCGCTTATCCTCAGTTATCCATCTGGCCACTAACATGGCAGCCACCCCATGTCTGGGGAGCAATGGCTCTGCTTTTAGACGCACAAATATCCCCTTCCAGCCCAGCCCATGTGTGCACTGCAGAGAGGCCACTGGAGCCACAAGAGCCTCACTTACTGCAATGCTTGGAGCGAGCCGGCTTCCTTAAATCACAAGTAGTGCACCTCACATTCCTCGGAAACATCACTTCATCAAATTCATAAACTTCGAGAAACTGTAACTCATTTGCTTTTGTGATGGTACCTGAAAAAAGGGAAGGGCATCTTGAATGTGCCAAGAGAACAGTAAAAGTGCCAGGCACTGGTGGCTCATGCCTGTAATCCTGGCTACTCGGGAGGCTGAGATCAGGCGGTTCACATTTTGAGGCCAACCCAGGAAAATAGTTTACGAGATCCCATCTCCAAAATAACCAGAACAAAATGGACTAGAAGTGTGGCTCAAGAGGCAGAATGCCTGCTTTGCAAAAGTGAAGTGCTGAGTTCAAACCTCAGTCCCACCAAAACAAGAACAGAGACTAGTAAAAGTGAAATAATTGGAAGCAGTTTTAACCAGAATCTTCAGATCCTACATTTTAGTGAAGTTATTTAAATTAATGTTTAAAAGTATGCAACTTGTTTTTAAAAAGCACTTTTAAAAATAAAGAAATAAAGAATAAAAAGAAAAGCATAACATAATTAACAAAAAGAATTCATATAGATAAAATGATTTGAACACAGGCAATGAACTTGATGCATTGGCCTTTAGTTCTCTATGCCAAACTAGAAAATACAAACTCTTTTCAGACACACGTGGCTCATTTACAAAAACTGACCACACACCCAAGCATAATGCAAGTCCCAAAAACTTGTACTACGTTGGCTCCAGCTGTAACTCCAGACACACAGGAGACAGAGATTAAGAGGGTGCCAGTTCAAGGAGAACCTGGGGAAAAAACTTAGCAAGAACCCCATCTCATTCAATTAGCGAGGCATGATGGTTCACCCAGTGACCCCTACATGGGAGGCCATAGATAGGAGGGCCAAGGTCTAAGGCCAGCCCCAGGCAAAAACACAAGACCCGACCTGAAAAATAACTAAAGTCAAAGAGGTCTAGGTGTAGCTCAAGTGGTAGAGGCCCCGTCTAGCAAGTGCAGGCCCTGAGTAGCACCAGTGTCATACTCTCACACTGACCACAGTTCTACATGTACGTAATTAAGTAAGAGCATCAAAAAGATAAACTAAAAACATATATATTGGAGCCTGACAATGTGGTATACACCTGTAATCCTAGCACTTGGAAGTACAGGCAGGAAGACTGAGAGTTCAAGGCCAGCCTGGGACACATAGCAAGAACCTGTCTCTAAATAAATATTTTAAAATAAACATACTGGGAAAATGTAAACAGCTTTAAATAACCATGGGTCAAAAACTAAAAACTAAAGTAAAACTAGAAAACATTCAAAATGAAAAGGTAAAGCAAACATGACACACGGAATCCTCTGCAGTGTTCTTAGGGGTCCACTACTTATTTGCAGCACTATCAGTAAGGCAGCTGAGCCGTCACCAGTCTGTGCCAACAGCCTCCACTTACCAGGATTGGTAAAACAAGTTAGGGTGAAGAAAACCAGGTTGGCCATCAGCAAGAGATAGGGCAGAAGAAGGTAATACAAAGAAAACTCCAAGTCTTGACAGTAGCCAAATATTTCACAGGTGTATTCAGTATAAACCATCCCTTGCAAGACCAGGTGGAGAACGACGAAGGTGTGGTTGCTGAAAGGAAGAGTAGACATGGCTTATTCACAGGACTGCTCCACGAAGAAATCATACAAAACTAAGGAACATAACCAAGGGCTGCCACTTCCATTAAGAATTAAGAAACCAGTGAAACATTTCACATGTGTCTTACAGAAATACATCTAAATACTTTCTCACTCTTTAATTGTGTCTATTTAAGAACAGACATTTCAAAACCCCAAAGACAAATGGAAGATTATCTGTGACTAGAGTTTTGAACCCAGGACTCCCAATCCTTCCAGCATCCTCCCCTTACCATGCTGGAAACCACAAGGAACTTCCTGAAGCTACCAAGCAGCAACAATTAATAATGAAGACAGAAAAGAAGATCATATCTCAACTCTGAACTGTAAATACCGTGTATGGAAGAGGTAATGAAGCAATCTTTGCATGGCTCTCTGAAGGCATTCTGGAATTACACGGGAACATATCTGAAATAAAAGAAAAATGTTCAATTTCATTTCCCATTCCCCTCACTCCCAAACAAACTAGCTTCTCCACAAAGAGCTGGCAATGTTGGTGAGTCTAAGTTCTATGTCCCATATGAGCAGGGACAGAGATCTAAGAGAATAAAGAAAGAGCAGGATTCCCTTCTACCTGCCTTCCTTTGAGGCCAACTGTCCCACATCTTCCCTAACCCCAAAAAAGGCCCCTGCCAAGGTCTTCAGAGAAAAAGGAGGTAAGCAGAAGCTCAGGGAATGCTGATTGATGTGAAAGCTGCTCCTTCCCCTGCCTTGGTTTTGACCCCATGTGCAAGGTTCACCCTTAGATCACTTAGCATTATCCCAAGTCCCTCTTAAGTGCACCTTTTCTCATGGGCTGCTTGTCCCAATTTTGCCCTTTGACCCCTGAAGGAGAGAGGGAAGTCCAATGCTCAGGTTTCTGCTCCTACGTCCCCCAGTTCCACCAAGCCCCTCCAGACAGACAATCCTTACATCCATACCCAATTATAGACATCACATTCAGAGTTAAAGGGCCAATCTTGAGAACGCTATCTTATCTCAAAGCATCTTCACAAAACTACTTTCTGTAGTAACAAAAATAGAGAGAGAGAAGAGAGAAAAGAGTAAGAGATGGACTTTCATAACTACCACAAATAAAAGTCTAAATGAACCAATGAATTTACATGTCATCTCTTAGCCAGGTACAGTGGCTTACGCCTGCAATCCCAGCCATGAGGCACAAGGACCAAGGGTTTGAGGCTAGCCTGGGTAACACAGTGAGACTCCATCTTAAAATAAACAAACAAGTAACCTGTCTTTCTTGTTCAGTTGGGAAACAAATGAGTCTTTTAGACTAGTGCAGTCAACAAACTTCAGATGTATCCAAGGATCATTGTTACCTGTGCTCCTCCTTGGATAAGGCCTCTTAAATAATGGGTTTTCGAGCAGATGCAGATTGTAGCAACACTAATCAGTACAAAAACCAGGTAGAAGAAGAAGAGAAACAAGAAGTCCATCCTGGGGGCTGCAAGGGAACAGAAGGAGTATGATTTGCTGGTATTGAGAGATTTATTTCCTAACACAGATTCTCAGACATCAACTCCTTCATTGGCTTCCAAACTAGAACCGATTGACCCTCAAGCATATGTCACAGAGTCCTACTACCTTCAGTGGGACCTCCAAGATGGTCCTGAACTATGTCCTTCAAGCCAAACTCTGTGATACGCCTTTGGGGTATCTCCTGCCTGCAAGTTCCAAGATATAGTGAGGAAGAAAATGCACCTGTCTTCCTCTCCATAGCAACAAATCTTTTACTTCCTTAAACATTCCCACAGATAGTCCTACATAAAGTCCCCAAAAGAATCTGCGGATGTTGTCAGAACAAGCATCTCCTAGAGGCAATCCTGCATCCAGGATCCAGCCTTCTGCCCTATGAAGCCTCTGTCAAGGCCAGTGGTGACACTGAAAGAGTTCACCCAGGGAAACCAGAGTCAATGCACAGGTTTGTGTTAAGAAACCAGAAACAGGGGTGGGACTTGTGACTCAGGACATAGAGGTCTTGCCTAGCAAGCACAAGGCCCAAGTTCAAACCCCAGTACCGCCAACACCAAAAACAGAAATGGTTAATTTGGACCTTAACAGATAAGATATTGGGCCAGAATTCCAACTGAGATTATCAAACCAGATGATCTTTCCTGGTAAGAAACAAAAAGCAGCAATTCTCACGAGGTGACCAGAGGTTCCCCCACCTACATCTTTCTCTTGTATACTTTTTCAGCAGGCAGCTCTAACGCTCCTCTTCTTCCCAGCATCTACGTACAATTCAGATAGCACCTCCTCTCGGGGATTGGTATGCGCCGAGCATACCCAAAACTGCAGGACACATGGTTCCTCCAGGAGGCTGGATCTGGCTGCAAGACAGATCAGTTCAACACTCACAGTCAGACGGAGTAAGAAGGCATAGTGGTAAAAAGGCTTTAGAAGTAGGGGGAATGTTGTTTACTTGCAGTGCTGGGGGTCGAACCCAGGCCCTTGCGCATGCGAGGCATAGCGCTCTACCACTGAGCTACATCCCCGGCCGGTAAGTAGGGAATCTTGGATCCCCGCAGCATCAACGAGTTACAAGACTTCTGAATAAACACAAACAGCTTTGGATCTAGCTCTCCCTATCCTATCGCTGCCCCCAACCTTATCCCTGGAGCGTCCACACTGGAAACCAGACAGAATACCTCCCCAGGTTATTCTCTATCCGGGCCTGACCGGGGACATAGGGAACGGGGTGCAAAAGGCTTGAAGGGGTCACAGGAGGTGCAGAGGCGGATCTATAGGAGGCCAGGAAAGGACTTTGGGGTCCGGAGCCCAGGAGAGGGGACAGGGGACGACTGACTCCAAGCGGAGGTGGCACTGAAGCCACACACAAACAACTGAGATTCAGATAGTGACAGAGACAGACCCGGACCAGCTGGGGTATCAGAAAGTCCCGCGGAGGCTGCCTTACCCACAAACTCAAATAACCGCCGGCTGCACAGAGCTGGCACCTCCCAGGCCCGCTCCGGGACTTCCGGCGGATCCGTGACGCCACGGACGCGCCGCTGCCGAGTCCCACTTCCGGCGGAAGTAGATATTGGCGGCCGAGTCTTTTACAGTGCAGCTGGGAGGTGGGATTGCGGGTGGGGGAGGGTGCGTGGTGGGGGGTGGCGCCTCGCTGTGCACCCCAAGCTGAGCTCGAACTCGTGATTTTCCTGCCTCAGCCTCCCGAGTGCTGGGATTACAGGCTGGAAACACCACGGCGGGTTGGGTTCAGTTGTAGTCGTGCTGAAGCTCAGCTGGGCCCTAGGCAGCCTGCACTTGGTTGGGGTCCGTCCTCATGGTTCCAGCATCTTCCGTCGCAGAAGGCACATTGTGTACCCATCGCAGTCAGAGGCCGCAGCACGCGTGTCCTTGCTCCTGCGGTCTCTGTGTACCGCTCTGAGCATCCTCTCAGGGGGTAGTGACCAGTGCTTGACCATAAACCTTGGAGATGAAAGGGAAGGCCGTTTTGATGCTAGCCAGACTTGGGGTAAGAAGAGCTGCTTCCAAACATAGCATTGACAAGGCCTCTGTGGGGAGTTCTTTGGGCTGGACGCCCCCATCCGCTGAGGACGTTTTGTTCTTGATATCTAAAAATCTGAGCCTGGCTTGTCCTCCCTTTGAGGGGAAATGTCTGATCTCCAAATATGAGCCTCAAAGACCTTCTCATTCCCTGCTTGCTATCTAACCCAGCTTCGTGATTCTTTTTAATTTTGAAAACAAACAACGTATGGAGCTGGAAACCTCCTGGATACATGGTATCCAAGACCTTGGTGAACTTGGGAAATAGAGTCTCTGAAGATGTGAAGGACCAGGGAAGATTGGTCCAGGGTAGGCAGGATTTCAGCAGGGTCTCCAGCCAGACTCCATCCTACTAGCTGATGCCAGGCTGGTGGTTAAATTCTTTGAATTGCCCTTTTTTTCCCCTCATACAGAGCTTTATTTTTATCCCTCTTCCTTTTTCTCTGATTCAGACTTAACTTTAAATCTAGGTTTGATTACCTATTGCGTTTTGTGCTGGATTACCTTTTTGTAATGTTTAAAAATATATGCAAATAATATAAGATGTTCTCCCTGTGGAAGAACCAACCTATCAAAAATCAAAACAAAATCTTCCTGTAAAAAAAAGTCAAACTATCCAAAATCAAAACAAAAAATCTTCCCTGTCCACCCTTCCCAAATCTCAGTCCCTTAACAGAATTACTCTTATGTAGTATGTATCCCCAAAATCCTATGCATTTATATATATGATTCATTTACCAAATATATATTGAGTTCCTGTGTGCTGTTCTAAGCACTGGGAACAAGAATAAACAGAAGAAATGACTGAAGTATGGAGTTCACCCTGATACATAGATGTGTGTATGTATATGTGCACTGTGTGAATATAATTTATTGTTTACAGAAATGGTATTGTCTTGTAATGCTTCTCCACATTTCTTTTTGTTTCACCCAGCAATGTGTTTTGGTGATCTTTTCATACCACTCCTACTGAAACCAGAGTTTTGGACCCAAAACCCAAACTCCTGAGGCTTCATATACCAAGTCCGGCCACCCACCTCTAAATGCAAAATAAAGAGGCCTGGTGAAGGCAGAGGAAGGAAATTTATTACACAGCTCAGGATGCACCATGGGAAGAGGCAGAGTAAGCACTCAGCTTATCCTCAGCCATCTTCGGGGTACAGACATGAGCTATAGGTTTAAGTAGACAAAGAACTGGGAGCATGGGGACAAAGGTGTGCATAGTTAAACAGCCCCAGTCAAAGGTGTGTTCTGGTTGACCAATATATTAGTCCAAGTGTTCCCAGAGGGGTTCTGGAGCAGATGTCACTGTCATCACTAGAGGGGAGTGGTGTGGTTCCCATGAGATGATTGTTCCTACTCTAGGGTGCAGCCTCATCTTTATAGGTCACTGTCCTTATTTGGAGGGGTGGTCTGTCCTGCAAGGCTCTGATCCTTACAGGAAGTTTCAGTCCCTTGTCATAACGATGTTATCAGTTCTGTCCTTTCTGGAATCCAAAGTGATTGCAAAGTGACTGCAAAGAGAACGGCTTAGAGCAAAGACAGTTACAAAAGGGAGGCAGGGATGCCAAGCTTCTCCTGTTTTTAGTTAATTTGTGTGTCCAAGTAAGGAGTCAGGGCTTTTCAGCAAAAGCTATTTGAGCGCCTCTTGACACTACATTGTATATGTCACATTATGTGTGTTGCTGTGTAGCTGAGTTCATTTGTCATGGCCCCGAACTCCAGTGTCCATGTAAGTAACCAATGAATAAAGTGACAAGTAGAGCAAGTTGTTTTAAGCAGAAGTGTCTATTTACACAGACCACACAACTGTCACCTCAAATCTAAGTGCATATGAAGTTCTGGGTTTTTAACATTATAGGGAAAGGGAGACTTAATGCTGGTTTTTAAGGCACTGTCTGCTAAACTCTCAACTGTCTTCTTTCCTGCTTTTCATGGCAGTCTTGTGCACATGAACCGGATAGTGGACTCAAGTTTCTTACCCACTATGCCCACCACACCCCGTCCTGCATGCCCTTTGGGTAGGATTGAACCCACCCTTAGCTCTAGGGATGGGTTCTAACTGGTCTTAGCCAATCAGGGTAATCACAGTTTTCTAAAACCAGAACCAACCAGTGGCATGACAAGCCACTGGAATGTCAGTGAACAATTAAAATGAAGACAGTGGTCCTTCCTCTTCCACAGAGTAAATCAGTACATTAAAGAGGATGGACAGAGCCCCAAGTGAGCCATGCCTGTAGGCTAGTCCACCTTTGGACTTTCTACTTCATTGAGCCATTTTTCAAACCATACTGGGCTACATTTTCTGTAACTTGCAACTGGAAACATACTAATCCTAATAAGTATTATCCCCCACTCATTATCCTCCACTTCATGGTTGTTTTTGAGACAGGATCTCACTTTGTAGCCCAGGCTGGCTTTGAACTCAAGATCTTTCTGCCTCTGCCTCCTGAGTGCTGGGATTATAGACATGTACCACGAAGCCTGACCTTCAGGTTTTTCCTTTTAAACTCACTTTAAGTTTTACAGAAATATATAAATATCAGCAAAGAAAAAAGACTGTATTTCCATCTTAACTGCTGCTTTATTACTATGATTTCTATATACATATAAAAATGAGTTTTACATTCCATAAAAGGTTTACAAAGCTGTAATCATAGGGTCAAGACAATTTTGAATTTTGGTTTTTTACATTTAGTTTATCATAAGTGTTTTTCAATTAAGATAGCTATATTTATTACTTGGAGATATAGTATACTGAGGTTACTCATTATTGTTGGACATTTGTATTCTTTCTAAAGTTATGGATAGTTTGTGACTAACATACTCATACATATATATATATATGTATGTATTTGCAGCATTAGATTAAATTCAGTACTTCAAGCTTGCTAGGCAAGCGCTCTGCCACTTGAGCCACCTCCTCAGTCCTTTCACTTTTGCAGCTTGTTTTTTCACAGGGACTCTGCTTTTGCCCAGGCTGCCCTCTAACTATGATCCTCCTATCTCAGTCTCCTGAGTAGCTGGGATTACAGGTGTACACCACCATGTCTGGCTTCATAATTTAAATTTTTTTCTCAGGATGCATCTCTTCGTGGTTGACCAGTTGCTGAAAATGATGTGCTTCTGGCATTTTCTTTTTCTTCTTTGTTCCTCAAAACCTCTAAGCACAAACATTGACATCTGTATTTTAGAAGATAACACACTATTTAAGCTTAAAGCCAAAAAATGCAATTCAAATGTGATGAAAAGGATCTTTCAGCCTTTTCACACACATAGCAAAGAGCCCCTCTCAGGGCCACTCCCAAACCACCTGCCGGCCCCTGAAACTGGACCTGATACCCGTGGTATCAGCTGTTCACCTGCTGCAAGATCAGTTGACAGGATCAACCACCTTTTACACCAGGATCTCTTGTCCCCAAGGGAGTGACTGGGCGATGCTTTGGAAATGAGATACAGACTTCATAGCTGCTCTAGCAATAAGCCCATGACACAGGATGCTTGCTTACAGTGATTTGTTGGTTAGGAAGAATTTTTGAATGAAGAAACAAATGAGAATGTAACAGAAGTGTTGTTGCTGGACAGGGACTGGATGCATGTTGGCTTACTGTTACATCAGTAGTGACTGTTTCAGTGCCTAGCTCATAGCAGATGCTCGATAAAAATGTATTGAATGAGCCGGCCATGGTGGCTCATGCCTGCAATCCCAGGTACTTCGGAGGATGAGATTGCAGTTTGAGGCCAGCCTGGGCAAATAGTTCATAAGACCCCATCTCCAAAATAACCAGAGCAAAATGGACTGGAAGTTGGCTCAAGTGGTAGAGCACCTGCTTTGCAAGCTGAAGCCCTGAGTTCAAACTCTAGTCCTATAAAAAAAAATGTGTTGAGTGAAGAAAAGAAAAAAGTGAATTATGCCTGAAGGAAATCTATATTGTAGATAACACAAAAATAAAAATTTGGGGGCTGATGGAGTGACTCACGTGGTTGAGCACCTGCCTAGCAAGCATGAGGCCCTGAGTTCAAATCCCAGTATCACAAAAAATAAAGAAAAATTTCTCTGGCCAGTAGGCAGAACCACAGTGTGACACTGTCATCTGGCTTACCTCATGATTAGTGGGTGCTCAATTCACACTTTCAAATTTTCACTTACCCTTGCTTCTTTGATTGCTACCCTTCAAGCAATGTGCTCGTGTCAAAGAGAATGGTCAGAGAAAAGTCTCCACTTCTGGACTCATTTCTTGATGGTGTTAAACAAGTAAACCAGTCAGTTCTTCTTGTCCTGAACGCTGTGTTATTCTGTTCACCGATATCTCAGCTCACCATGACCTGTGGTATTATGTCTCTTCAGAATGTGGCTGAATGCTGGACATGGTAGTGCATACCTGTAATTCCAGCACTCAAGAAGCTGAAGCAAGAGAATTGTTCAAAGGCAATCCAGTGTGGTGATGCACACCTAGCTAC